GCCAAAGAATGAAGTGTGTCTTGGTATTATGCCTGCAGACCACGCAATATTACTCCATGTAGTTTTCCTCTTCTTTATCCTCCACGCCTCATAAAGGTTTTGAACAGAAAAAGAACCATTGCTGCACAATGAACATACTGCAACATCAGGACATTCCTGTAGTTGGTGGCTCTTGATTCTTTCAGCTACGTGTGGGAGCCCCCTATGAAAGCTAGTAGAAATAATCATCCAACAGGGCTGCCACCAGTCTCTAACCTTTGCTGTTCTATCCCAACTAGACACCATAGCCTCCTGGTCCATTGACTTGGTTACAGTTTCTTTCTTTAATGCTAATGTTGTTCTAATTGGTAGTTTTGAGATATCTAATTTTGCAGTTTTGCTGACCATGGACTAGTTCTTTTAATCCTTCTTAACAGCATCCTGCAGTTCTGCACCCTTTTGCAACAATAATTTGTCAATGAAAATTATACTGAGTACCACCCAGGATTTCTAGTTTCTACAAGGAAGAGTAGTTGATCTTTAATCTTATGATTTGGTCAGTTTGGACCAAGTACTGAACTAATTACATACCCCCTCCATTCCTTTTTATCTGTCCATTTAACTAACTTTGCATGTAACTTTAGGTAATTCTTTTATATAGCACATGAATGACAATTGAAAGTTTTTTCATCAGATAAAATTACTCAACGAGAGCTATGTATTTAAACAAAAAAATTCTGATGACGAACCATCTAGGGAACCTATTTAACAGTTACTATGTGCCTGCATCTAGTGAACATTATTCATAGTTATCACATGTCTATCTTTTGTGATTAAGTTGAAATTATCTGTCTTCAGACCATAGTTAATGTTGTCATTCTTAAAAAGGAAAATACAGATTTGATAACCGCTGCAATGAGTAGGTTCCAGCGCACTTTCAGATTCCCTTCTCTTTTCTTGCCTTTCCTTTTTCTCCTTTGCCTTTTTGATAAGCCTCTGTTTCATTGCCATCTTCAATATAAAATGACTAGTTTATCAGGAGTATTCTTTGTACC